ATAAAGGCTTTGAAGGGTGCAGCCCGTGCTGCAGCCCTGTCTGCACGGCAGGTGTGGCAACATAACAGGTTTCTTCTACCAGGCCATAAAGAAGATCGGCGTTTCGGGAGAAGTGCTTAAAAGATCTCGGGAGAGGTCGATCCGCCGTTTGAAGGAAGTTCAACATTGGAGGAAGTCCAAGAGTGCGGAGGAGGAATTGCTTTGATTATCAACAAGTTCGAGTCGTGTGCAAAAACGACGTATCACATAAAGAGGGAGTCTTTAGTGTTTTATTAAGTCCTATTAATGTACACTTAAATCTAAACTAGGTACGTATGTATCCGAACCACATTAAATTGTTGTGTTCTTTATTCTGCTTTTCGTAGATTTATTACTGTGACAACACAACAATTCCGTTACCACACCTAATGTCGTAACATGTAGTCTGTCTCAACAGATGAGTGGACTTTGATAGGCATTCAAATTCAACAATTGGCATCAGAGCGGGTCACTAGATATACTTAGTGTCTGATTTTGGGTTTTGATTTGTTTGCTTTGCTTGGCTTATTGGATGACGTGTGTTCACAAGGAAGGTTGAGACGGAAGTCTGTCACGGCATTCACCCAATTCCGCTGCATTGTAACGTGCCCCGTGATGGGACACTCTGATAGAAGACCAAGACGGGTGAAGAAAAGTGGCATCTCTGTTGCAGGGGGAGTAAATCTCATCTGCAGGGGGAGTTCTTGTTAAAACATGGATTCTAACCAATCTATGCCAAAGGGGGAGATTGTTGGCACGAGATTTCTATTTGTGAAGATTGAAGAAATCCGCCATACGTGGAAATTAAAGATTGGCAAAGATTTGTTTTCCATGTTTATTTTGGAATTAATTAGAGTCCTATTTTTGTAATATTGTTATTAGGACTTAAATTTATTTCCATGTATTATATTCTAGTTAGGTATCTTTTTATACTTATCTAGAATAGAAGTAGAAATCGACTAGGATTCTATTACCTAGTTAATCGATTTCTTAGGGCTCAAGTTAGGTTTAGGGTGGTGGATTTCGTGCCTATATAAGGCCCTCAACCTCATATGAGTCCCATGGAGCTTTAATCGAAAATATCCCAGCATAAAGGCTTTGAAGGGTGCAGCCCGTGCTGCAGCCCTGTCTGCACGGCAGGTGTGGCAACATAACAGGTTTCTTCTACCAGGCCATAAAGAAGATCGGCGTTTCGGGAGAAGTGCTTAAAAGATCTCGGGAGAGGTCGATCCGCCGTTTGAAGGAAGTTCAACATTGGAGGAAGTCCAAGAGTGCGGAGGAGGAATTGCTTTGATTATCAACAAGTTCGAGTCGTGTGCAAGAACGGCGTATCACATAAAGAGGGAGTCTTTAGTGTTTTATTAAGTCCTATTAATGTACACTTAAATCTGAACTAGTTTTGCAAGTCCTCGTGGATGTAGGGTACGTATGTATCCGAACCACATTAAATTGTTGTGTTCTTTATTCTGCTTTTCGTAGATTTATTACTGTGACAACACAACAATTCCGTTACCACACCTAATGTCGTAACATGTAGTCTGTCTCAACAGATGAGTGGACTTTGATAGGCATTCAAATTCAACAGATGTCTTGTGACTCCATAATGTTATCCTTTGCATGTTATAGTAAGTTTTTGAGGGTTTTGGATGTTGAGGATTATTGAAGAAGTTGAAGAGACTTTTTTGAGGAATTTGTGTGGAATGAGTTTGTGAAGAAGATAAAGTGTTTTTTGTTGATGTGGTCATGCACAAAAAAAATTGTGGAGTTTTGTGAGTCTAAGTTCATATTTTAATAAATATATAATAGTCTTTTAGTAATTCATTTAGTGAAAAATTAGATTTAACTTCCCCTAAGTAATTTGTAAGATTGTATATAGTCGCCGCCATCTTCCTATAATCACAAAGCAACATATATACAAGCAATAACAAAAGACCAAAAAGAAGGAACAAAATAACCGACTAGGCGAGACAAATGCGACCAAATAATATGCAAATTGAACTCTTATCTGGCTTGAACTTCTAAAAAAATATTAGGTTTTTGGACAAAAATAAAATAAAAGCATTTTGATTTGGGCTTCTAGTTATATAATTAAATTATTTAGGCTCAATTTAAATAATTAAATTGGCCCGAAGTCAAATATTCTCCGTTGTTTCGAACTATGCAATGAAGATATGTAATTGTTAAGTGACTCTGTCTCAATTGATTCGTGTTCGAATCCCCTTTCCAACAGTCGCTAGGTGTGGAACTTGTCACACATGATTAGCACAGTGTGTTTACGTCTCTCGTACAATTTGCAAACTATTACACAAGAGTGTAGGTTTACTCAGTGCACCTATCTATATGGTTGGCTACGGGCTCGTTCATTACAAAAAATAAATGTAATTGTTCTTTTGAAATACTTGGCTCATCTTAAAGAGATATAATCCCTCCGTCCCTTATTATGTCTTTTTGGATTGTTTTTTTTTTGTCCCAAATTATTTGTCACTTCAGAGGTCCAATAAGGTATTAATTGCATTTTTATCAATTTTGCCCCTTTATCACTCTTAATTAGTTAATTAAAAATTAATTAATGACAAGAGTATTTTAGTATTTACTATATTATTTTGGTATAATCTATGCATATTTATTGACTATCTTAATGTACGCGTAATCACCCAAAATGACATATACAAAGGGACAGAGGGAGTATTGTTTAGGCCAAATGGAAATCCATTCTTCCAAAAATAAAATGGAAATCCCCCCACGAATTTCGGCCAACAATAAAATTTCAATATAATCAGACAACAACAACTGCATTGTTTTGTGAGTTTCACTATATATGAAAAAAAAAAAATTGAGTAAAATAGTAGAGCACATAAACTTATCACCAAAAAGGCTAAATAAAACAGACATCGAGAATCCGAACCCTGAGGCATAACTATGAGAAATGTCAAGCTTCACTTGGAAGAACGTTAAAGAAATGATAAACCTCATCCTCATCGATAACTCCAACATCTGTTGAACAAACTGAACAACACACACTTTTATATGTTTCAGTTGCAACTCCACCTTTTTCACTCTCAGAGGAACCCTTTTTGTTTCTTTTTCGTTTACTTCCTGCTGTTGCCACTTCCTCCTTTATTCTACAATTCTCAACAAAAATTGCTCGGTACTGTGTCAAATACTTGTCATGCCTGCAAGACTCAGAATATATATTATTTCTTTTTTAATGTTTCAAGATTTAATTAGGAAGACAATAGGGACACGAATAATCTTAGGGTCCATTTGGATGGAGGGATTTGGGGAGGGATTTGATTTGGGGAATGGATTTGAAATGACTCCAATTTAGGAGTCATTTGAAATCCATCACTATTGCTCCAAAATCAACTAAAAATGAGGGGTGGGGATTTGAAATCCATCTCCAAATCCCTCAATCCAAACAAGTCCGAGGGATTTGTTATTATGGATTTGAAATCCCTCCCCCAAATCCCTCCATCCAAATGCACCCTTAATGCATTTCCCTAGGGTCACCGTTGCCGTGATTAGGTAAACTAGACATAAGCATGTGGAAGTATGAACAAATTGTCAAAACCACATTTTCAATGTCCATACACATTTTTTTTAACTGATTAGATAAGATTCGGAATAGGTTTTCAAATCTTGGATGACCAATCATTGCTAAAAATCAAGTGATTCAGTTTCTAAGATCCAGGGATTAGCCTCAAAACAAAATTCAAATCTAGAATCACCTTGGAGTTGGATTTATATGAAGGAAGTTCAAAATCAACCATGGAAAGGGTCAATTAGAAGCTCAAATTTAATATGGAATACGAAAAATAAGTGCTATTAAGAACTTAGAATCAACTTGTGCAGCCTCTACAAATATTATTTATTTACACATGGATTCAACGTAGAAACACGCAGATTAATCCAACAAGATTAACTTTACCCTTCATCTGAAACTCCAAGCAGACATAAAGATTGACCTTGTTTTTCACTTGATAAGTTATCATTGAACATGGATTCCAAACTTAATCTTATCAAACTGGAATCGAATAACTTAAATTTACAATAAAGTATTATAACTTGCTGCTTTATTGGACGAATAAGAGATTTAAATTATAATAGCCTTATGATCAGAAACAAATTTTCTACTGTTAATTTAGATATATATATATATATATATATATATAATATATATATATATATATATATACGGTTTTTATGTGTATACAACAGTATATGGAAGTCCCCACTCATCTTTGGAACATGTGGCAAAAGAAAAGGCTAAAGGTATTATTCCCAAACAAAAAAAATTCCTAGGTGATCCTTCAAATCGAGTGAACATGGATCAAACCCAATCGAGTTATACTACACCTAATCTTTCACTTGTTTAGTATTTAATTTAACTTTAAATACGAATATCACAAACTGCTCGATCTTATAGTATTTTTTTACCGTCATTATTTCGTATTGGTCATAACTAACTAAATTTTGTTCTCCCAATATCCTTCCACAGATGCTGTCAATAGTGTACGAAAAAAATCATTTCCAACATATACAGAAAAATTGACTAAGAAAAAGAAAGGTATTATATCAAGTATTTTTTTTAGCAATAAAAAACAAGTGGCATTAATTAAATGGGGATTAATTGTGGTGTCGATGCTATGTTAGACGTTAATACTGTTATCTTTGTACAATTATTGCTAAATAATTATAAATAAATGAATTTTATAATAAAGAAGTTGTGTTGTTATTAAAACAGATGACGTTGAGTACTGTCGCAATGGTGTATCTACATCGTGTGAAGATCATTTACAAGTTACAAAATCTTATTATGAATCAAATAAAAGGTGCGATCTTATTTTCTAGGACTAATTTTATGTTTTATTAAATGATTAAGTGTGCAATACATGTAGATAATATTCCAGTTTTTTCTTTCATTTCTATAGAAGCTAAATGTTTACTATTATGTTAGTTGTACCGTGCGGAATGGAAAGAAGATGGCTAGGAGTCATAAAACAATTGACTCTGTAACACGTATGTTGGATATGACATCAGTACCCGCTATGTTGGTAGATGAGGATTTACAGACGTTAAGAGAAACACGTATGTTGGATATGACATCAGTACCCGCTATGTTGGTAGATGAGGATTTACAGACGTTAAGAGACAATTCTTCCGACAGCGGAGGTAATTATCTTTGTCATCATCTCATAACGTATCTCATTGCTATGCGTTATTTGTCAGTATATTTTTCTACTGTAATGATAATTTTTTGTTCATAAATGTAGATTCTGAATATGTTTCCAACGATGAGAATAATGACGATGCAGTTGACGATACTGGTAAATATCATTTTAATCTAACAACTTTTAATCTTAACATTACTAATTATATAAATTCATTACATTTTTTTAGATGAATAATATTATTTAGTTAATTTTGGATAGATTATGAAGATCTTGGAGACCAGACGTATGAATGTCCTTTTTTTGGTTCAATGATGTGGTACGGTGAAAGAATTGACAAGCATAGACAAACATCCAGGCCCAAATTTGGCTTATGTTGTATGTCCGGGAAAGTCCAGCTCCCAAAAATAAGAGATGCACCTCCTACACTTAACAATTTAGTGTTTGGCACTGATCGGAGGAGCAAACATTTCCAAGAGAACGTACGATCGTATAATATGATGTTTTCTTTCACGTCGCTTGGTGGAAAAGTGCAGACATCTATTAATAACGGATCTGGTCCATACACATTTCTGTTACACGGACATAATTACCATCTACTGGGCAGTTTATTGCCAGAAGAAGGCACTAGGCCTAAGTTTGCCCAACTTTACATTTTCGACACAGAAAATGAGATTCATAATCGAATTGATGCCGTCAGGTAAATTTTTCGGAATTATATTCATGTTCTAAGGAATATAGAGCTTACAAATTATAATTACATTATTTTTTATTTCACAGGTCCGGAAATCAATCTAACAATCTTGACCCAGCCATCGTTGCATCGTTGAAAGATATGATTGACGGTAACAATGTACTTGCACAGCATTACCGTGCTGTTCGAGATCATTTTTCCAATGATGGCCATCAAGGAGTAAAAATCAGATTGGTAAAGAGTCGCAGTACTGATGGCAGGACGTACAATCTTCCTAACGCAAGTGAAATAGCAGGCTTGATCGTTGGTGACTTTGACACACAAGAGGGTGTTAGGGATATTGTAGTTGAGACGCGCTCAAATAAGCTTCAATGAATCAGTGAGCTCCATCCTCTTTACTTGCCTCTACAGTATCCTCTTTTATTTCCTTACGGTGAAGATGGTTATCGAGACGATATCAGTTTGAGAGAATCTTCATTTGCTGATAATAGAAAACGAAGGAAGGTAAGCATGCGAGAATTCTTTGCATACCTAATTCATAAAGGGCATGGAGAACATTCGTTACTTTTGCATTCCAAGAAGTTATTTCAGCAGTTCTGTGTTGATGGATTTTCGATGGTTGAGTCACAGAGGTTGAATTTCATAAGGTTCAATCAGGATCAACTTAGGGTTGACATGTACAAGGGTATCAAAGAAAAGATTTTTAAAGGAGACACTGAGGGTAAATCTGTTGGACAACGCATTATAATCCCAGGGTCGTTCACCGCAGGTCCAATGTATATGTTTAACAACTTCGTTGATGCTCTTCAAATATGTAACTAGATTGGATTTCCAACCCTCTTCATCACCATCACATGCAATCCCCAATGACCAGAAATACAAAGGGTGTTAAAAGATACAAATCTCAGGCCTGAGGATCGGCCAGACATTCTGTGTCGTGTGTTCAAAATGAAGCTCGATAGTATGATGACGGAAATCAAGAAGGGCCGTATATTCGGACGTATTAGAGCATGTGAGTATTTAATTATATATCCATTTATAATTAACATTTAATACGTTTATATAAATTAGATAATTTAGTCATGTGCGAGTTTAACTACTTTTTGCTTCATTAACTAAATTAATTAATATTTTTTAATACCGTATGTTTACATTTTTTATGCAGATGTCTGCACAATTGAATTTCAGAAACGAGGTCTACCGCATGCACATATTTTATTGTGGTTGCATAATGACGACAAGCCAAAGAATCCAGAAGAAATTGACAGGATCATATGTGCTGAAATTCCTGAAGAAGAAAACGACAGAAAGATGTACCAGTTGGTGGAGAAGTATATGATACATGGACCGTGCGGTCAGGCAAATTTGAAATCTCCATGTATGAAAGATAGAGTTTGCACGAAACGATTTCCAAAGCCGTTTGTGCAGCGCACTGAATCAGATGCAGATGGGTTTACAGTGTATAGGAGAAGGGAAGATGGCAGAACAGTTACGAAGAAGAAGACTACTCTTGATAATGGGTTTGTGGTCCCCTACAATCGTATATTGTTGAGTAAATACCGAGCTCACATTAATATCGAGCTATGCAACCAAAACAAGTCAATTAAATACCTATTCAAATACGTAAACAAGGGGCATGACCGAGTCACAGCGGCATTTTATGAGACACGCAATACAGATGGCGGTGCTGAGATTCGTGATGAGATAAAGATGTAGTACGACTGCAGATATCTTTCGGCGTGTGAGGCAATGTGGAGGTTGTTTAACTTTGATATTCACTACAGACACCCGTCCGTAATTAGGCTAAGCTTTCATCTCCCCGATCAGCAGCCAATTGTCTTCAATGAAAACCAGTCGTTACAAACTGTGTTGGATAGGCCATCTGCCAAGCAAACTATGTTCCTGGCGTGGTTTGAGGCCAACAAGAACTATCCACATGCAAGGGATTTGAGGTACGGAGATTTTCCACAACAATTTGTGTATAAAGAGGATTCTCGAACTTAGGCGCCAAGGAAAAAAGGATTTTCTATCGGTAGGATTGCGAATGTCCCCCCTGGAAAGGGGGAAGACTATTACCTTAGGTTGCTACTTAACATTCAAAAGGGATGCACGTGCTACGAGGACATCAGAAAAGTTTTTGACATCGTCTAGCCTACGTTCAGGGATGCATGTTATGTGTTGGGTTTGCTAGATGACGACAAGGAATACATAGATGCAATAAAAGAAGTGAATACTTGGGCATCGGGGGAAAATGTAAGAAGGTTATTTGCGGTTATGCTGCTTTCCAATAGCTTAAGTCGGCCCGAACATGTTTGGCAAAGTTGTTGGTTGGATTTGGCTGAGGGTATTGCTTACAAACAACAACGTCTTCATAAAAATCCAGGTATGGCAATTTGTATGGCATTGTATTCAATTAGATTTTACGTATTAATCATTCTTTTAATATTGTCTCTGTACGATTTCAACTAGATGCACATAATTTATCCATTTTTTTATTGTTGAAGATTTACATATATCGGATGAAAGCTTGAAGAACTATACTCTCACCGAAATAGAAAAAATATTGCAAAGCAATGGTAAAAGCCTGCAAAATTACGTGCCTATGCCAGTTCCAATAGAATACTCATCTGAGGACACAGAAAACATATTGGTGTTAGATGAACTGGATTACAACCGGTTTGAAATGGGTAGAGAACTTCAACAGTGTCTTGCTTCCATTACAGATGAGCAAAGAAAGGTTTATAATGTAGTCATGGATGCAGTAACCAATGACAGTGGTGGAATGTTCTTTCTATATGGCCATGGTGGAACGGGAAAGACGTTTCTATGGAAAACTCTTTCGGCTGCAGTTCGTTCGAAGGGAGAGATTGTAATTAAGGTTGCATCGAGTGGTATAGCATCGTTATTGCTCCCCGGTGGAAGAACAGCTCATTCTCGATTCGGACTACCCATAAATGTACATGAGAGTTCCACCTGCAGCATATCGCAACAAAGTCCACAGGCAGAGTTGCTCATAAGGGCAAAGCTTATTATATGGGACGAGACTCCTATGATGCATAGATACTGTTTTGAAGCCCTTGACAAGACAATGAAGTCAATATTACAGGCTGATAAACCCTTTGGTGGTAAGGTGGTTGTTCTTGGAGGTGATTTTAGGCAGATTTTACCAGTTGTGCTCAAAGCATCAAGGCAAGACATAGTACATGCTACGATAAACTCCTCTCCGCTGTGGAATTTCTGTCGTGTCATGAAGTTGACTAAGAACATGAGATTGCAGTCATGCTCTTCTCCATCTAATGTGGATGAGATAAAAGAATTTGGAGACTGGATATTGAATGTTGGTAATGGGGATGTTGGGGAAGACAATGATGGTGAAGCTTCGATAGAAATTCCAGATGACATGTTGATTGGTGATTCAGAAGATCCATTCAGAGACTTACTCGAGTTCGTTTACCCGGATTTGTTGAGTAACATGTACGATCGAGATTATTTTCAAGGGAGGGCAATTCTAGCACCAACTAATGAATGCGTCGAGTCTGTGAACGATCACTTAATGTCTCTCCTTCCAGGAGAGGAGAAGGTGTACCTGAGCTCAGGTAGTATGTGTAGGGACGAGCACACAACGGAGGATAATGCAGAAATTTATTCGACTGAATTCCTCAACACAATAAGATGCTCCGGAGTTCCTTCTCATGCGTTGAGGATCAAGGTTGGTGCACCCGTTATGCTAATAAGAAACATCGATCAAGCTAGAGGATTGTGCAACGGTACCAGACTTCAAATTATTAGAACTGGCATTCACGTTCTGAGTTGCAAAATTCTTTCCGGAAAAAATATCGGTGACATGGTGTTCATTCCTCGGATGACATTAATACCATCTAACTCCGAACTGCCAATTAAATTTCAGAGGAGACAATTTCCGTTGATTGTTTCTTTTGCAATGACGATAAATAAAAGCCAAGGCCAAACTCTTTCGCATGTTGGTTTGTATCTGTAGACGCATAAAATTAATTAATTGGTTAATTAAATTAGCCAATTAAATTGTGTCTAAATTAAATTATAATTTATCTTACAAAATAAGTTATGGAGATAATTATCAATTAATTATTGGCCAATAGGATTATTTCTTCTCTTCCAAGTTATAAGAGATAAATATCAATTTAAAGAGAGCCAATCAAATCGCGCCACATCATCAAGTAGACTTTAAGTAGGACTCTTATTCTACCACTATAAATAGGGACCCTCTCTACACAATTCAAGAGACAACTCAAGAAGAAGAAAAACCGTAGGAGAAAATTCTCTCTACAATATTCAAGTCGTTCTTCATCAAATTCAAGGCGTTCTTCATCAAATCGAGGGCGTTCTTCAACAAATCAAGATCGAAGGAAGATTGAAGGGTCAAATCCATCAAGAACTCCAAGATCTTCAAGTCAAAACCCGTCAAAGTTCAGCAAATCAAGATTGAAGGGTCAAATCCATCAAGAACTCCAAGATCTTCAAGTCAAAACCCGTCAAAGTTCAGCGTTTCGATCCGAGATTCAAGTCGCAAGACCCTCGGAAAACGTTATTCAAATCCAAAATCAAATCCGGAGAAGATCAAGTCAACGACTCGACTCCGAAAATTCAAGTCAACTATATATTGTTCTAGAGAGAAGAATCAGAGGATTAAAATAGAGATTGTAACCCGCAATTTATTTATTTTAATTCAATAAAATCATCTTTGTTCAATTTTTCTTGTTTGTTTATATCGCAGATAAGAATTTGTTGTTACAAATTTTGGCACGCCCGGTGGGACATCTCTACCTCTCATCTCTTCTCTCTCTCGAAGATCCTCGAAGTGTTGCAGTGACTGCTCTACGTTCACAATGAAGATTGTTTCTTCGGATTCATCAAGTGTGGGCTTTGGTACAAGGAGTATGGCTAAGAAGCTGCAAGCATCCTCCGAGACTAACTCGACACCTCAAACCATTCAGAAAGGCTTACCACCTCTTGTCAACACAAGCGCATACGTGGAAGGTTCAAAACGAGAGATTTCACAGCCCACGCCTTGTTCAGCATCAAGCTACTCAGAGGTGGCATCCGTCATGACAACAAACGCTACAACCATGGAGGAGCAAATTGCAAGTTTGACAAAGGCCATTGAGGGACTCGCAAAGCATGTTCAACAACGAGATTCTCAAATTGCCGAGTTGATCAACAAGATGGACAAAGCCGATGCTAGTCAAGCTGTGGAGAATCAGATAGAGGTTCAAGACGAAGTCGAGACATCCACAAAGCAACAACCAGTTGAAAACGAGAAGGCTCCAGCTCAAGAACTTCAAGTTTCTCCAGAAGGGATGATTCATGTAGATCAAGTGATGACGCTGATCAGTGGAACCATCAAAGACAAGTTGGAAGGAAGCTCGAAGTCTCCATCAACCTATGTCAAGCCATACACGCAAAGGATTGATGATCTAAGGATGCCAATGGGCTATATACCTCCAAAGTTTCAACAATTTGACGGCAAAGGCAACCCCAAGCAACATGTGGCACACTTTGTCGAGACTTGCAATGATGTCGGGACGTACGGAGATCACCTCGTTAAGCAATTCGTCCGATCGCTCAAAAACAACGCTTTTGATTGGTACATTGATTTGGGGGCAAACTCCATTGATAGTTGGAAGCACTTGGAGGAAGAATTTCTCAACCGCTTTTACAGCACTCGAAGAACAGTCAGCATGATTGAGCTCACCAATTCCCGCCAATGGAAGAAGGAACTTGTCATCGACTACATCAAACGTTGGAGAAATATGAGTCTCAATTGCAAGGATCGACTGTCTGAGACATCAGCTATTGAACTGTGCATCCAAGGAATGCAATGGGGACTCCGATATATCCTTCAAGTAATTCAACCTAAAAGTTTTGAAGAGTTGGCCACTCGAGCACATGATATGGAGTTGAGCATACTTGCAAATCAAATTGAAGAATCACCATTGCAAAAGCCGTACCAGCTCAAAGAAGTGCATCTTGAAGAAGAACAAGAAAATCATGAAGATGGGGGCAAGTCTTTTGAAGAAGCAACACCCTATGCAATATGACAAGTCAAATCAAATGAAGCACTCCTTGACACGAGTTTAAAAGGTCTACAAGTCCAAATCAAATGAAACACTCCTTGACACGAGTTTAAAAGGTCTACAAGTTCAAATCACGTGAAGCACTCCTTGACACGAGTTTAAAAGGTCTACATGTCCAAATCAGACAGTCCATGACACGAGTTTAAAAGGTCTACATGTCCAAATCAAATGAAGTACTCCTTGACACGAGTTTAAAATGTCTACAAGTTCAAATCAAATCAAAGCTCCTTGATACGAGCATAAACTATCTATATATCCAAGTCAAGTCAAGGCTTCTCGATACGAGCATAAACTATCTATATATCCAAATCAAGTCAAGGCTCCTTGATACGAGCATAAACTATCTATATATCCAAATCAAGTCAAGGCTCCTGGATACGAGCATAAACTATCTACATATCCAAATCAAGTCAAGGCTCCTCGATACGAGCATAAACTATCTATATGTCCAAATCAAGTCAAGCCTCCTTGATACGAGCATAAACTATCTACAAATTCAAGTCAAATGCTCCTTCACTACGAGCTGAAACTGCAAATGTTTCTCCTTGTCCACATGAGTATAAACTGTGCACGACATCCCTCAAAAGGATATATTTTGAACTATGTTATGACTTGATCCCTTTATAGGGTACGTAGGCAACTTAGAATCTCTCTAAGTTCAGTCATGATTTCAAAAGATATATGTTTTTTGCTAGATCAAGCTGCAATCAAAGTTGAGCAATAATCGAGACTCATCCACTCCAAGATGCATTGTCCGTGAACAAGTCTCGAGGGGGCATTTGTAGACGCATAAAATTAATTAATTGGTTAATTAAATTAGCCAATTAAATTGTGTCTAAATTAAATTATAATTTATCTTACAAAATAAGTTATGGAGATAATTATCAATTAATTATTGGCCAATAGGATTATTTCTTCTCTTCCAAGTTATAAGAGATAAATATCAATTTAAAGAGAGCCAATCAAATCGCGCCACGTCATCAAGTAGACTTTAAGTAGGACTCTTATTCTACCACTATAAATAGGGACCCTCTCTACACAATTCAAGAGACAACTCAAGAAGAAGAAAAACCGTAGGAGAAAATTTCTCTCTACAATTCAAGAAGCAAGGAAGAAGAATTCGTAGGAGGTAAGATTCTCTCTCTACATTCAAAGTGTTCTTCGTCAAATTCAAGGTGTTCTTAAGCAAATTCAAGGCGTTCTTCATCAATTCCGGCGTTCGATCCGAGATAACGGTGCCAAACCTTCGGATTAACGTTAATCAATTCAAGTCAAGATCATTGGAAGATTGAAGGGCCAAATCCATCAAGAATTTCAAGATCTTCAAGTCAAATTCAGTCAAAGTTCAACGTTCGATCCGAGATTCAAGTCGCAAGACCCTTGGAAAACGTTATTCAAATCCAAAATCAAATCCGGAGAAGATCAAGTCAACGACCCGACTCCGAAATTCAAAGTCAAACAAATATAATTAATATTATTCTAGAGAGAAGAATCAGAGGATTGAAATAGAGATTGTAACCCGCAATTTATTTATTTTAATTCAATAAAATCATCTTTGTTCAATTTTTCTTGTTTGTTTATATCGCAGATAAGAATTTGTTGTTACAAATTTTGGCACGCCCGGTGGGACATCTCTACCTCTCATCTCTTCTCTCTCTCGAAGATCCTAGTAGTTGTTCTACGTTCACGATGAAGGCTGCTACTTCAAATTCATCAAGCATAGGCGTAGTTACAAGGAGTATGGCTAAGAAGCTGCAGACATCCTCCGAGACTAGCTCAACACCCCAAATCATCGAAAAAGGCTCGTCACCTCTCGTCAACATAGGTGGAGGCGTGGAAGGATCTAGAGGAGAAGCTTCATCATCCACGTCCCTTTCAACATCAAACTACTCTGAGGTGGCTCCCGTCATGACGACACATGCTACGACCATGGAGGAGCAGATGGCGATCTTGACCAAGGCCATTGAAGGGTTAACAAAGCACATTCAAGAACAAGACTCCCAAATCGCAATGTTGCGGAACAAGGTTGACGGTAGTCACGAGATGGGAAAACAAGGCGAAAATCACACCGAAGCTGAAACTTCTGCAAGGCGACATCCAATCGAAAGGGAGAAGAGCCCGGCTGAAGAATTCCAGATTTCGTCAGAGGGGTTGATTCCTATAGACCAATTGAAGGAGTTCATCATGGGGACTATCAAATACAAATTCAATGAGGGTTCAACATCGTCGTCAACATATACCAAGCCATACACTCTAAGAGTAGACGACTTGAAGATGCCAATTGGTTACCAACCCCCGAAATTTCAGCAATTTGATGGCAAGGGTAACACAAAACAGCATGTGGCACATTTTGTTGAAACTTGTAACAACGCCGGGACTTTCGGAGACTATCTCGTTAAACAATTCGTCCGATCATTGAAGGGGAATGCTTTCGATTGGTATACGGACCTAGAACCGAACTCAATTGACAGTTGGAGTCAGATGGAACAAGAATTTTTGAATCGCTTCTACAGCACCGGAAGAATAGTGAGCATGATCAAGCTCACGAACTCTCGCCAGTGGAAAGAAGAGGCCGTCATTGACTATATTAACCGTTGGAGGAATTTAAGCCTGAATTGCAAGGACCGATTGTCAGAGGCTTCAGCTATCGAGATGTGCATTCAAGGAATGCAGTGGGGACTCCGATATATCCTACAAGGGATTCAACCTAAGAGTTTTGAAGAGTTGGCCACTAGAGCGCACGACATGGAGTTGAGCATTATGGCTAGTGGAGTTGAGGGACCACCAGTTCAAGAGCCTCGACAGTCCAAAGAAAAACAAGACTTTCGGAAGGGGGGTAGAGTTTTCTCTAAGACCTCAAGCAAAGAATCTTTGGCAGTGAATGCAACCCCTATCAAATTTCAAGGAAAAGCGAACGGAAACAATGAGGAAAAACAAGATTTTTCCCAAGAAAGAAGAAGACTTACTCTAAAAGAAATGCAAGCAAGGGAATATCCATTCCTCGACACCGATGTGGCTGGAATATTTGACGATTTGCTAGGTTTAAAACTTATCGAATTGCCTGAAATGAAGCGCCCCGAAGAAGCTAACAAGACCGATGACCCAAAATACTGCAAGTATCATCGGTTGGTAGGGCACCCAATTCATGATTGCTTCGTATTCAAAGATAAAGTTATGCAGCTAGCTCGCCAAGGGAAGATATCACTTGAAGAGATCAGCGCCACTACAAATTTTGTCGTCACCACTTTTGAGTCCCTTGACATGACGACAACAAACGTACACAGAGGAGATGATGATTGTATCAACATCTCATGCAACGCGATAATTGAAAAGGAGATCGCTGCTAGTGGAACAACTCCGTCTTCAAATGAAGTTTGTACCGTGATTGGTAAATGCATGTCAACAATGACTTTCGCTGATGAAGATTTGCTTCTTGGTTCCAAACCACACAATAGGCCATTGTTTGTTGCCGGCTACGCTCGTGAGCAGAAGGTGAATAGGATTTTAATCGATGGAGGTTCTTCAGTCAATATTTTGCCGTTGCAGACTTTAAAGGAATTGGGAATCTCCACGGAGGAACTCAAAACTAGTCGCTTGATGATCCAAGGATTTAATCAAGAAGGACAAAGGGCCCTTGGTATCATAAGGATAGAGTTGTTAATGGATGATATGTTGTCCACCGCACTGTTCCATGTCATTGATGCAAGAACCTCATACCGTATGCTTCTCGGGCGACCTTGGATACATGAGAATAGTGTGGTTCCTTCTTCTTGGCACCAATGTTTCAAGTATTGTCGAGACGGAGTAGTTAAAATAATACTCGCCGATGATAAACCGTTCACCGAGGCAGAAGCCCACTTTGCCGATGCTAAGTACTATCTTGATGATGAGAAGACAGTAAAGGCCAAAGAAATTCTACCAGTTGAAGAACCAAAGCGAAGAAATAATCAAGACAAGGCTCCTTTAGTGTGTGAGGCTTTGAAAGATTTGATGTTTCCCTTAACACCAATTGACGAGAAGCGATCAACTTCTCAACCACCTAAAGGATTTGTTCATCCCACCGAAGAAACCCAAGAGGAATGCGAAGAATTCTCCGAGTCCCAAATGACAAAATGCTTTGGCCCAAATGCTTATAAACTCTTAGTGAAAGCTGGTTTTAACCCACATGAAGATTCTACGCTTGGAAGGCTTCCTGCCGAAGTTGTTGGCGAAAAGGTGCATGGCCTCAATACTACTCAAATAATGTTGAAAGAAAAAGGACATGCTATTCAAAGTCCTCGAGTTGGTCTTGGATTTGTTCCTCAAAAGCCAATTCGTATTGCTATCAATAGAGCTACCAGTAATTACATAATCGAAGACGAATTCTCATCAACAGACGATTTTCTTGAAAGTGGGACAAAAGTGAGAAGAACATCCGTCTTTGATAGGCTTACACCATCTGTCTTCGATAGACTCGCGCCATCGGTCTTTGATAGACTTGGACCACTTAGAGAGTGGGGGCATGGAAAAGGTGGCAAACGAGGGTTGGATAGACTTACGCCATCCGTCTTTCATAGGCTGGGACCACTTAGAAAGTGGGGGCATAATAGAAGCAACAAGCAAGATTTGGGTGTTTCTAATACGAAAGTCACCAAAACATGAAGGATTCGAAGTTCGATTCCATCTCGCATGAAACGGCGTACTTATTTGACCATATCATGTGGCGAAGAGTTGAAGGCTAAAATGCGAACTATCGTCTTTACAAAAATCCAAGAGGACGAGGAAGATGACAGAGAAAGTGTGGCATCATCGTATCATATCACTTTAAGTGAAATAGACGTGACTGAGGAAGAAGACGCTGAAACTGCTCCACCCGAGCTTGAAGAAGGAGTCAAAGCCACCATCGATGAGTTAAAGGAAATTAATTTAGGAGATGCGGAGAATCCTCGACCAATCTACATTAGCGCTTTACTCACCGTCAACGAAGAGGAGACTTATATTAAATTGTTGCACGAGTTCAAGGATGTGTTTGCATGGTCTTATAAAGAAATGCCCGGATTGGACCCAAAAGTGGCAATACATCATCTCTCCGTGAAGAAAGGAGCTCGCCCTGTGAAGCAAGGCCAACGTAGATTTAGGCCTGAATTAGTCCCTGCAATTGAGGCTGAAGTGAACAAACTTATTGAGGTTGGTTTCATTCGAGAAGTCAAGTACCCAACATGGATTTCAAGTATCGTCCCTGTTAGAAAGAAGAATGGACAAATTCGTGTGTGTGTTGACTTTAGAGATTTGAACGAAGCATGCCCTAAGGACGACTTTCCAATGCCAATAGCCGAACTAATGATCGATGCTACTACAGGCCACGAAGCATTATCATTTATGGATGGGTCGTCCGGATACAATCAAATACGAATGGCGCCGAAAGACGAAGAATTAACAGCCTTTCGCACACCTAAGGGCATCTATTGCTATAAAGTGATGCCGTTTGGCTTGAAAAATGCCGGTGCTACATACCAAAGAGCCATGCAGAAGATATTTGATGACATGCTCCATAAAGATGTTGAATGTTATGTGGATGACTTGGTGGTTAAATCCAAAAGAAGGGAAGATCATCTCCAAAATTTGAGAAAAGTCTTCGAGCGCTTGAGAAGGTACCAATTGAAGATGAATCCGTTGAAATGTGCATTTGGTGTTACTTCGAGGAAGTTTCTTGGATTCGTAGTTCGTCACCAAGGCATAGAAATCGAACAAGCCAAGATTGATGCAATTTTAATGATTCGCGAGCCTAGGAACATTCATGAGCTCAAAAGTTTGCAAGGAAAGTTGGCATATCTAAGAAGGTTCATTTCAAACTTAGCAGGTCGATGTCAACCATTCAGCCGACTTATGAAGAAAGATGTTCCCTTTGAATGGGATGAAGCTTGCACTAGTGCCTTCGAAAGCATAAAATCGTATCTAACGAAGCCTCCTGTGTTGATTGCACCAGTGCCCGGACGGTCGTTAATACTCTATATTGCTGCTCAAGAACGATCTGTCGGAGCTTTACTAGCACAGGAGAATGATGATGGAAAAGAGAGCGCCTTATACTACTTGAGTAGAACAATGACACCAAATGAGTTGAACTATTCGCCAATCGAAAAGACATGCTTAGCGCTCATTTTTGCAATTCAAAAGTTGAAGCATTATTTTCAAGCTCATGTTGTCCGCCTAATCTCAAGGATGAATCCTCTAAAGTACGTCATGTCAAAACCCGTCCTATCCGACAGACTTGCAAGGTGGTACCTGTAATTGCAGCAGTTTGACATAACATATATTCCACAAAAGGCTGTGAAAGGACAAGTTCTAGCCGATTTCTTGGCGGATCACCCTATCCCTGCAGAGTGGGAGTTATCCGATGATCTACCCAATGAAGATGTTCTTGTGATTGAAGCTAGTCCTCCTTGGAAGATGTATTTTGATGGAGCTTCTCACAGAGAAGGAGCGGGCGCCGGAGTAGTATTCGTCACATCCAACGGCGAAGTGTTGCCTCACTCTTTTACCTTAACACAAAATTGCTCCAACAATGTTGCTGAATATCAAGCTCTTATCCTTGGGCTAGAAATGGCAGTTGATATAAAGCAACTAAATTTGGAAGTATATGGAGACTCCAAGTTGGTGATCAATCAGATACTCGGATCATACGAAGTGAAGAAGCTCGATTTACTCCCTTATGTGGATTACGCTAAAAGACTTATCGGATACCTTGGTGATGTGACGATAGAACATGTGCCTAGAAAGGATAACAAACAAGCGGATGCATTGGCAAAACTTGCTTCTACTTTAGCCATGCCCGAAGACGGAGCTCATATATCAATTTTCAAGAGGTGGGTCGTACCACCAATCTTTGAACATGGAGAAATTGAAGAAGACGAAACTCGAGTGGTTTACGTGTTTGAAATCGAGAAAGAAGACTGGCGTCAATCATTTGTGGATTACTTGAAGTATGAAAAGTTGCCTAATGATCCACGTCAAAGGGTTGATATTCGACGTCGTGCGGCTCGTTTCATCTACTATAAAGATACACTTTACAGACGTTCATTTGATGGAGTTTTCTTGAGATGTTTAGGTGATGACGAAGCCGTTCAAGCCATAGAAGAAGCTCATTCCGGAATTTGCGGCGCCCATCAGTCAGGACCCAAATTACATTCCGAATAAAAAGAATGGGTTATTATTTGCCATCTATGGTAAAGGATTGCATGGAGTATGCCCAAAAATGTCAACCTTGTCAATTTCATGCAAACTTTATTCATCAACCGCCGGAGCCATTACACCCTACTGTTGCCTCATGGCCCTTTGATGCTTGGGGTTTGGATGTGGTTGGACCTATGACAAAGTCTTCCGCCGGACATCTCTATATCTTGGCAGCAACAGACTACTTTTCCAAATGGGCTGAAGCAGTGCCTCTTCGAGAAGTAAAGAAGGAGAACGTTGCCGATTTCATCCGCATCAATACCATCTACCGTTACGGAGTTCCTCGATATATGATCACAGACAACGGAAAGCCATTCTGCAATGGTGTGATAGATAAACTTTGTGAAAAGTTTGGCTTCAAGCAAAGAAAGTCTTCAATGTACAACGCTGCCGCCAATGGACTCGCCGAGGCCTTCAACATGACTTTATGTAATTTGCTGAAGAAAGTGATCGCCAAGTCAAAACGTGATTGGCACGAGAGGATGGGAGAAGCTTTATGGGCTTATAGAACAACGTATAGAACACCTACTCAAGCCACTCCATATGCGTTGGTGTACGGTGTGGAAGCAGTCTTACCTCTTGAAAAACAAATTCCATCATTGAGGATAGCTATACAAGAAGAACTCACTCAAGAAGAAAATGCCCGTTTGCGTCTTGCAGAATTGGAAGCTCTTGACGAGAAAAGATTAGAGGCACAACAAAGTATTGAATGCTACCAAGCTCGTCTTTCTAGGGCGTTTAACAAGAAGGTGCGGCCAAGATCGTTTCAAGTTGGAGATTTGGTACTTGCCGTAAGGAGGCCCATCATCGTCACTCACAAAACGGGGAATAAATTTACTTCAAAGTGGGATGGTCCTTATGTCGTCAAAGAAGCATACACAAATGGAGCGTACAAGTTGGTTGCCGAAGATGGCTTAAGAATTGGTCCGATAAATGGAAAGTTCTTGAAGCGGTACTATGCATGAAGCGGAGGAGAAGGCTCCTGGCCCGCATGAGTTGAAACTGTGCACGGCTTAAAAAAAAAAAAAAAAAAAAAAAAAAAAAAAAATCTATCTTTTTTTCTTTGAACTACGTTATGACTTGATCCCACTCGGGGTACGTAGGCAGCTTAGATATTCTCTAAGTTCAGTCCTTTCCTAAAAAAAAAAAAAAAAAAATTCTATCTTTTTTCCTTTGAACTACGTTATGACTTGATCCCTTTATAGGGTACGTAGGCAACTTAGAATCTCTCTAAGTTCAGTCATGATTTCAAAAGATATATGTTCTTTGCTAGATCAAGCTGCAATCAAAGTTGAGCAATAATCGAGACTCATCCACTCCAAGATGCATTGTCCGTGAACAAGTCTCGAGGGGGGATTTGTAGACGCATAAAATTAATTAATTGGTTAATTAAATTAGCCAATTAAATTGTGTCTAAATTAAATTATAATTTATCTTACAAAATAAGTTATGGAGATAATTATCAATTAATTATTGGCCAATAGGATTATTTCTTCTCTTCCAAGTTATAAGAGATAAATATCAATTTAAAGAGAGCCAGTCAAATCGCGCCACGTCATCAAGTAGACTTTAAGTAGGACTCTTATTCTACCACTATAAATAGGGACCCTCTCTACACAATTCAAGAGACAACTGAAGGAGCAAAACCGTAGGAGCAAAATTCTCTCTACAATTCAAGAAGCAAGGAAGAAGAATTCGTAGGAGGTAAGATTCTCTCTCTACATTCAAAGTGTTCTTCGTCAAATTCAAGGTGTTCTTAAGCAAATTCAAGGCGTTCTTCATCAATTTCGGCGTTCGATCCGAGATAACGGTGCCAAACCTTCGGATTAACGTTAATCAATTCAAGTCAAGATCATTGGAAGATTGAAGGGCCAAATCCATCAAGAATTTCAAGATCTTCAAGTCAAATTCAGTCAAAGTTCAACGTTCGATCCGAGATTCAAGTCGCAAGACCCTTGGAAAACGTTATTCAAATCCAAAATCAAATCCGGAGAAGATCAAGTCAACGACCCGACTCCGAAATTCAAAGTCAAACAAATATAATTAATATTATTCTAGAGAGAAGAATCAGAGGATTGAAATAGAGATTGTAACCCGCAATTTATTTATTTTAATTCAATAAAATCATCTTTGTTCAATTTTTCTTGTTTGTTTATATCGGAGATAAGAATTTGTTGTTACAGTATCTTCCTAGGCCTGTCTTCAGCCATGGTCAACTATATGTTGCAGTGTCCAGAGTTAAGAGCAGAGGTGGCATTAAGATATTCATCAAGTCGGATTCGGGTGAACTCACCAATGTTACTAGAAATGTTGTGTACAAGGAAGTATTTCATCGAATTTGAAGGTAGAAAATATTTTCATATTTATCATTTATTCATGTAACATGTTTTTTATTTTATTTTTAAAGAACTTATTCTTTAGCAGGTGTTTCTTATCTATATATTTTCCCCGGTGCGATATTATTTTCAGTCATTTCCCTAGGGTGCTCGGTGCAATTCTTATTATCTTTAAGATTTAGTTTTGACGATATATTACTATTTAATAGTATTCTTATATCATAACTATGAAGAACATGACACTTATAACATATTTTTATTATTGTTGGTCGATTACGTTATGTACTTAAATTCGGTGACCGTGATAATTGATATATGCGTAAATTTGTTTTTGAGACATGTATTTTCAGTTAGAAATATGTCGCCCCGTGCATCGCACGGGTGAATACTAGTCTTTATATATACAAATATATATATTTTAATTAATTTCTAAATGGGGCATGCTAAATCCCACACTAAAATTTACTAAATCCCACACATAAATTAAAAAGAAAAAAAATTCTATTTCTTTTTTTTTTTTAGGAAAAATTAACTTTATTTAGGCATACCTTGCCAAATCGGAAGGAAGATTATAACCTTCGTTACAAGAGTCACCATAATTTTTAGCTATAAGATGAGCTAAAATATTTCCCGAACGTTTAATAAAATTAAAGACACAACTTTCAAAAAATTTAGCCACACACCAGCAATCTTCGACATAAGCGCCAAACGAACATGATTGAGCATCCTCTCCTCGAAGAGCTTCGACAACTTTGAGGCAATCTCCTTCCTGAATAATTGATGGCCAACTTTCCTCTTTGGCTCTAGTCAATGCGAATAGTGCAGCATGAGCTTCACAATCGACTGCCCTTGGTCGGCCTCTAAAGCTTCTAGCTGCCCAAAAGATACAGTGACCCTGCCAATCTCGAGCTATCACAGCCACCGAATAATGGTTTGTACCAGCTGGAAGAGCTGCATCAAAATTCAGTTTAATTATTCCTTCTCGAGGCGGTTTCCACTCCGTTTGATGAGCGCGTTGATGTATGGGAGTACGAGGAAGTTGTGCTTGTTGATACAAATTGAGAAAAGTCAGACCCCAGCTAATAAACTCGTCCGTCGCCATCCCTTGCTCTCCATGCATCTCTCGATTTCTTGACTCCCAAGCTTTCCACACTACGACGACCGCCAAGAGAAAGGAATCCTCTGTTAACTGTTGCTGCAATTGAATTATCCAATCCCACATAGACACTGGTTTTGGCTGCCCTATAATGCCAAAACGGTGTGACTTCCATATTTTTTCCATTCCTCGACAACGGAGAAAGACGTGCATAGGTGTCTCCCACTCTCTCCCGCAATGGTTGCACATTGGAGAGGTGGCAATCTTTCTTCTAAACAGCTCGGCTTGTGTGGGGAGTATATCAGAACAGGCCCTCCAAAGAAACATACGAATTTTCGGGGGAAGTGCCAAATGCCATATGCTCCTCCATCTTCGGCTTGATAATCCACTCGACGATTCCTTCGCTAGACAGTAGACCCCTATTAGCATGATAGCTGTGTGTTGTTACTAGGGCGAGTTGATAACACAACTTAACCGTAAATTTTCCGTCCTTCGTGTAGTGACAAATCCATTTGTCCGATGCATATGAACTTCCAATCGGTATAGCCAGAATACGTTCTCGATCCACTAGCCAAAACTGCTCATTAATAATCGAGATATCCCAAGACTTTGAAGTCTGGTCAATTAAATCTTCGACTCTATCTGGGAAAAACGAGTGCAGAGGTCTTCGAGTAATAACTTTGAAATTTCCATCGTCACCGAGCCATGGGTCCGCCCAGATAGATGTGCTTGAGCCATCACCAATTCTCTTTCTTAAACCTTTGAGCAGATGAGATCGTGCCTTAACTAAACTCCGCCAAGTCGCTGAAGGCCGCGAACCTAATTCAGCCGTGAGAACTTCACCATTGGAGAAATAATGAGCTTTCAGAATTTTGGATAATAGAAGGTCAGGGTAATTTAAAATTCTCCAGGTTTGTTTGGCTAATAATGCTATATTGAAACTACGCAAATCCCGAAATCCAAGACCACCATCAGCTTTCGACATGCACATTCTATTCCACGCTAACCACGACATCTTCCTGTCATTTCCATTTCCCCACCAAAACCTTCGGATAGCCGATTCCAGATCATTAATGAGACCCACCGGTAACATAAAGCAACTCATCATATATGACGGAATGGCTTGCAAAACAGCCTTAATAAGAACCTCTTTTCCGGAATTTGAGAGTTGTTTCTCGCCCCATCCTTTAATACGTGCCCAAATACGATCTCGAAGAAAACTAAAAATTTCTTTTCTTGTTCGCCCCATCGAGAGAGGCATACCTAAGTATCTTTCATGTCGATCCACCACTTGGAAACCCAAAATATTGCAAATACTCTCCTTCAAAGCCGCGGAAGTTGTTGGACAAAAACTCACATTAGTCTTTTCAAAATTAATCTCTTGTCCCGAAATCCTTGCGTATTGATCAAGAATGTTTTTCATAGTAATCGCATCGGCTTCAGAAGCTTTACAAAACAGAAGAGTGTCGTCCGCGAAGCACAAATTGGAAATTGTGGGAGCTGATGGAGCAATTTTAATTCCATGAAAGTTACCTTCATTGACTGCCTTATGAACCATAGTAATTAAAGCTTCTACACAACATATAAACATATATGGGGACAAAGGGTCGCCTTGCCGAATACCTCTAGATGGACGAAGCGAGCCAAATTGTGAACCATTAAAGAGAAATGAGTACAAGACAGAAGAGATACACAACATAATAAGATCAACAAACCCAGGCAAAAAACCCAAACGACAAAGAATTTTTCTCAAAAATAACCATTCAATCTGATCGTATGCTTTACTAATGTCTAACTTGACTGCCATATAATTATTTCGATTACTAGAGTTGGACTTAATGAAGTGATTGATCTCGTAAGCAACGAGAACATTATCGGTGATAAGACGTTTGGGAACAAAAGCAGATTGGGTAGGTGAAATAATATCACAAAGAATCGGTTTGAGACGATTAGCAATAGCCTTTGATCCGAATTTATAAATCACATTGCATAGACTGATAGGTCTATACTCTGTCATTTTTTCCGGTTTTTTCACCTTAGGGATAAGAACAATGTAGGTGAAATTAAGGGCATAAGGGAGTCTCTTATTATTAAGAAATTCTAACACGCAAGAAATAACATTAGACCCTAAGATATGCCAATATTTAGTATAAAAGATAACAGGAAGGCCATCCGGGCCAGGAGATTTTAAAGGGGCCATTTGAGAAATAGCACGGGTTACCTCATCAGCAGTGAAAGGCATGGATAACATCTGATTCGCTTCGCTCGTAACTCTCGGCTCAAAATGCTCCAAAACCTCATCAATCTCCCTCTCACTCGGATTGGTAGACTTGAAAATATGAGCAAAGTATTCAGCAATAATTTTTTCGATGTCTTCCTCATTCACCTTCCAGTTCCCATTCATATCTTTTAATTGATCTACTCTGTTTACACGATTACGAGAGGAAGCCTTTGCATGAAAAAACTTTGTATTATGGTCTCCTTCTTTCATCCATTGAACTTTGCTCCTTTGACGCCAATAAACATCGTTTTTCTCATATAAATGCTCCAATTTTTCCCTAACGACCCTCAATTCAGCCCGAACAACCTCAGTTTGTATTTCACTGTTCAAGTAATGGATTTTCTTATGTAAAGTCTCAATCTGTCTTTGAGGTTGCTGAAGAGTGGACTTACTCCACTTAGTGAGGGCTATTCTTCATTCATTCCTCTTCCAAATGAGGTCCTCCATAGGCTCGGATGTGACGTTCTCTCCCCACGTCTGTCGGATAATATCCTCACACTCACCCCGTCCAATCCACATTGCTTCAAATCTAAATGGTCTACAAAGTTTGCGTTTATTAACTCTCGGTTCTCTCTGTAGTGCAACCATGATAGGGATATGATCGGACCCAAGGAATGGTAAGTGAAGTGCCTTTGCATCCGGGAAAATAGAAATCCACTCATAGTTAGCACAAGCACGATCCAGCCGACTTCTGATGGTGTTAGGATGCTCTCGCTTATTAGTCCACGTAAATGGATAACCCTCGTAACCAATATCCGATAAGTTGCAAACATCAAGGATCTCACGGAAAGCCTCTATCTGATAGGGCAGTCGCGCAAGTCCCCCCTCATTCTCCGAGTTGCTTAATATCTCGTTAAAGTCGCCACCTATCATCCACAGCAAACTCCTGTGAGGATGGAGAGTTCTCAACAGATCCCAAGATTTCGGTTTGTTCTCATGCTCCGGGTAGCCATAAAACCCTGTGCACCTCCAAATCAAATTATTGTGTTGCGAGCGGACCTCAACATCAATATGATGGGAAGAAAAACTAATAAGGTCCACATGTATTTCCTTTTTCCAGAATAGTTGTTGGGTGCTAAATACCAACACGCAAGTGTACGTATCGCAAACAAGTAGTAAAGTAGACTCGTGAGAGTCGGATGTCGATCCCACAGGGAATACGTAAATTATTTAATCCTAAGTACCAAATCCTAACAATTGTGATTTTTATCCAGCCTACGCAGGGTTGTCAAATTAATTAACTAAATAAATTAAACTAATTAAGAACACAAGTAATCACGAGAAAAAGATCAATAATAAACGGATCTAGGATTTTATCTTCCCCCTATGCTATAATTCTCCACCCAATTAATTTCCTATCATGCAAGTTACGATTCCCGATTATTAACCCAAGACACGAAATTATTCATAACCAGCTGTCGCTGCGCTATAAACCTATTATTCATAAAAGATTCACTATATGTCTATGCAAACCTAGTATAAATAAAGCATTAAATATCAAGTCTCGCAAACGGCTACCTAAGGTATTATCTGTATGTCTACGATAATACATGCAATCAACACACGCATTCGGTGAAAAACTACTCGAAGGCTCTCCTATCCCTGTTCTAATTATTAAAACGATCTGTCAATCAATTCTAACAATAACAAATAGCAACATAAGTTAGCTACGCTCATGCACTAAATAAACTCAAGATAGAAGAAATAATCGAAGAATTAAACTTGCATAAAAGTAGAAAAATAGGTTCGAATCACCACATAGGGTTCCAATAAAATCCTAGAATAAAAACTTAGCTACTCATGTTCGTAACGAAAAGCATAAGAAAAATACGAGAATTCATAAATTTAGAAAAGAAAAGGAAAAAGGAAAACTAGGATGAAAAATCGTCAAGTCTTCGTCTTCGTTCTCTTGCTCCTTGATTGCGTGTAGAAAAGATAAAAAAACTAAAAACTAATAATAACGATAAAAGGTAAAAGATAATCCTAATTGTGTGCTTGTGGCCTTTAAATAGGGTGCAAAACTATAATAGGGCGGGTTTCCTTGTGTAATTAAAATTCCTTCACTGCGCCATCACGCCCATCCGGACGGCCGTGTGAGATTTTGAACTAAAATCCGCACGGCCGTGCGGTCTTTGATTCTCCAGATTTCTGATTTTTCACTTTTGGCCCACTTTTTCTCTGAATTTGCAGTTTTCACCCCAAAAGTTGCCAATTCTTCAATTTGCACCTAAAATACAAATAATAGCCATATTAAGCACCAATTATCGTAAAAACACATCAAAAGCTCCAATTAAAAGGTACAATTAAGTGTATAAATATACACTTAACACACCCCCAAACTTGAACTTTTGCTTGTCCTCAAGTAAAATTAAATTAATAACACAAAACAAAACCATACATCTCATTACATAGATCGATTGGTCAACTTCGCGTTTTCAGAACTTGCAATTATCATGACAATTCATAGGTATTCGCAAGCTTAACATTCAACGGCACTTAGTCACTCACTATTACCAAAAACCACAAGTCATACAATTGCTTCAAGTATCCAATATTTGCAAGTTAAAGATAGAAAGAATTTATACTTACATGCATATATTTGACTCCAAATACTCACCAAATTATTTTACTCAACTAATATTGAACAATAAGCTATTGGGATCATTGGGGCTTTGTGGCTTTCAATTGTTAGGCTCTTTGGTCCGAGGTAGGTAATATGGGAATGTGTGGCTAATTTTCTTGAATTGAGGTGATTACGCCAAAATTTGAAAGATAGGCGTTTGAAACAATGAATTCACCTCTAGGGACTTAAATAAACTCGATTCTCCAAAATTCACACGTCAACACTTTTGCCTTGAGGCAATGGATCGAGTTTTCAACACAACTCAACAACTAGTCCTTATTTCTCCCTTCTAATCTATTCTTCTTCTTTTTTTTTTTTTTTTTTTTTTTTTTTTTTTTTTTTTTTTCGCATATCGAAGGATTTAGATATATATATATATATATATATATATATATATGAAGATGCACATATATATCTATCCTTTTTTTTTTTCCTTTTTTTTTTTTTTTTTTTTTAGAAGAAGAAGAAAGATCTTATAAGAATTTTTCGACCGACCACCAAGGGATAATTATTCAAAAATCTCCACTTTTCTACCTTCTACTAATTGGCTAAAAGAAAGAACACCTTTTCTCCGAGGCTCAAATCAAGGTTCTAAGGATAAATTGACAAAAAGGGTAGGCTTGAAAGGCTCAAACGGTTCAAAGAAGGCCCAAATCATATCCCAAATCACTTATTATCAACACTTCGTATCATAAATGTCATAAGGTGAGATTTAAAACCGAACAAAGCATGATTGAGCACAAATAAATTCCAAATTTAAAATGCAAAACATTCAACCAAAGCAATGCACAAGGTGTGATTCCTAGCAATAATTCACTTCTACGTTCCGTTGAATCGAAAGCTAAACAAATACATACTCCTTATCAACATAAAACAAGCAATTTCATCATCAAACATTGACCATCTCCCATCATCATAATTCATCGATGCATCAATTTTTTTTTTTTTTTTTTTTTTTTTAATAAAAACGAAAATAATAAAACGGCAACTAAAACAAAAACTAACGCATGAAAAATAAAAATAATAAAACACAAATAAAGCGCACATAAATGAAAACAAGTAGTTAACCACCCCCAAACTTAAAATTCACATTGCCCTCAATGTGATTCGCCCGGAGTTTAAGGATAGAAAACACCTGTTTTTAAGCGTCGGGACCATCGTCGGGTTGTTGGAATTTGATCGGTTTTCTTGCCCTTCCCTTTGCTCTTTGAAGTGCCTTCGCCTTGTGAGGTGCCCTCCCCGTCACGTCCTCGTTTCCCCACTACTTGAGAATGTGTGTAGAAGGGATTAGGAGTGGATTGATGTGCAAAATTTCCCCCAAACTTGACTTGGGCAATTCGTCGAACACCTTGTGGGCGTTCTTGATTGAATGGATTTTTGGAGAAATTTGTACCTTTCTTGAACCCTCCCTGCACAAATCAGCAACAAACAACCGAGATAAGCAACAATATGTGTGTAGTTGGTGAATTTTCGGTGAAATTGTTCAAGAAAGTCGAAAATTTTGAAAAGAGGGGTTTAGGGTTCGAATTAGGAGAGAAGTGGGGATTGGAATTGTGAAAATTGGGGTTTGGAAAACCCCTATTTAATATGCCCGAATTTTATTTATTTTTTTTTAATTTTTTTTTTTTTTTTTTTTTTTTTTTTTTTTTCCGCACGGCCGTGCGGAATTTTGGCCTTAAATCGGCACGGCCGTGCCATTTTGCATATTTGGGCAGTAGTTGTTTCAATTTTTGGACGGCCGTGCGATTTTTAAGGGAAAAATCCGCACGGCCGTCCCATTTCCGGAATTTATACAGTAGCATCCCCGAAATTCACACGGCCGTGTGAATTTCTTCCCTTTTTCTTGCACGGCCGTGTGAATAATTGCATTTAGATCCCTGCAAAATAAAAACTTCTTATTAGTGCCCCTGAAACTTTTTTTTTTTTTTTTTTTTTTTTTTTTTTTTTTTTGAAAAATAAAATAAAATAAAAGCAAAACTAAAAATTTAAAATAACATAAAATAAATAAAAAAAACGAAAGCTCGGGTTGCCTCCCGAGAAGCGCTAAGTTTACAGTCTTCAGCCGGACTTTGTCTGCTTCTTTGATCAAGCTAACGTGACCGAAGCCACTTGGCGATTGAATTCCTCGCCCCAATAATTCTCGTTTGGTTCTTTAGGAGGCCACATCCACCTCGCACGTTTATCATTATTATCACCCCGACTCGTTTGACTGTCCCTTGGCGGAGTTGAAATTGAGCTCGCACAATAAACTTGCTCCGTCCGACTATCTTTTCCGCCACCATCTCCTGCACTCAAAAATCCTTTCCCACGGTCTAAGATCAAAGCGTCAAAATCGTCATGATTTGTAAAATCCACAAGATCTATAGCATAACAATCATTATCATCACTTGGATTTTTATTAGTGCTAAAAACGTTAAATTTGACCGTTTGATCATGCACCGTCATTGAAAGATCACCACTAGCACAATCAATTAGAGTTTTTGACGTGGCTAAAAACGGTCTCCCTAAAATAAGAGGTATCTCCCTATCTTCATCTATGTCAAGTATAACGAAATCAACAGGGAAGATAAATTTGTTCACTTTTACTAGCACATTCTCTAAAATACCTTTTGGGTAAACTAAAGACCTATCGGCTAATTGAAGAGTTATAGCCGTTGGTTCAATCTCACCTAACCCAAGATTTTTGTAAGTGGAATAAGGCATAAGATTAATGCTAGCACCTAAATCAATGAGTGACCTAAAATTTTTACCTCCAATAGTGCAAGGGATAGTGAACTTACCTGGATCGCCGAGTTTTTGTGGAAGGGGTCGTACAAGAATTTCACTGCATTGCTCCGTGAGTTGGATGATCTCGTTCCCTTGCAATTTATTCCTCTTTGTCACGAGCTCCTTGAGGAATTTCACCCACTTTGGCATCTTTTGAATGGCTTCGATAAACGGAATGTTGATGTGGATTTCCTTCAGCTTGTCCAAGAATCCTTGGTGCTCGGCATCGAGTTTCTTCTTTTGAAGCTTTTGAGGATATGGGACTTGAGGGACTCGTGAGATCACTGTGGGAGATGGCGGTTCCTTGCGAGTTGCTTCTTTTTCCTCAATCACATTCGGCTCCTCGATTACCGTGTTTTGCTTCTCCTTTCGTGGGGCCTCCTCCAATTGTCTCCCGTTCCTTAAACTTACAGCGTTGCACTGTTCGATGTTGTTCTTCCGAGGATCTTCCGTGTTTGATGGCAGTGCTCCCGATGGCCTCGAGGTTAGTTGGGTTGCAAGTTGACCCATTTGTGTTTCCAAATTCCGGATGGAGGCTTGGGTGGTTGTCATAAATTGCGCCAATATGTTTGCGAGATCTCCTCCTTGAGGTTGAGCTTGGGGCGGATTTTGAAATCCGGGAGCTGGTCGTGAATAATTAGGCGGTTGGCCTTGAGGTGGTGCTTGCCTTTGCCCTTGCTGATTTCCTCCCCACCCAAAGTTAGGGTGATCCTTCCATCCCGGATTGTACGTGTTGGAGTACGGGTTCCTCTGTTGTCGGTTGGTGTCATGCACATAATTCAGAGACTCCGTTTCTTCTACGCGCTGGTCGGGAACTTGGACTGCATGGACTTGCTGAGTCTGCAAAGCCGCTACTTGCTTCGATAGCTTCTCCAATTGGGCTGTGATTGCAGTGACTCCGTCTAATTCCAAAATTCCGCCCGTCTTGACTGCTCCGCTATTCGACCGGTCCGATGCCCGCATGTATTTATTTCTAGCGATTCGCTCCAAAAGCTCGTATGCTTCATCGTAAGTCAAACTCATGAACATACCTCCAGCAGCAGAGTCGAGCACGGTCCTCGAGTTGTCTTGCAATCCATCGTAAAATATTTGCAGTTGGCGCCACTCTTGAAGCCCGTGATTTGGGCACCTCCTTACTAGCTGCTTGAACCGCTCCCACGTCTCGAATAACGCTTCACCGGCTTCTTGTATGAAGTTTTGAATTTCTCGCCGGATTCTCTCAGTTTTTGTTGGGGAGTTGTATGTGTTCATGAAAAGTTGAGCTAGCTGGGCCCACGACGATATGGAGTGTGGTGCACGAGTTTGCAACCATTCTCGGGCTGCGCCTTGTAGGGAATGCTTGAACAGGCGGAGTTGCAGTGCTTCGGGTGTTACTCCGTTCATCTTATGCGAGTCACACGTTTCGAGAAAGTTGACCAAGTGAAGATGTGGATCTTCATGAGCCAATCCGCTGAAAAGACCATTGTTTTGGAGCATCGTGAGGAGTCCCGCTCGAATCTCGAAGTTATTGGCTTCAATGGGGGGTTGCTGGATGCTTGATTGGAACCCATTAAGTGTCGGGACGGTGTACTCATGCAGTGCTCGTTGGCGAGGCGGTGGATTGATTAGTTGGCGTTGCTCTTGCTCGTTGACGATTTCTCTCGCCAAATTCGGTGGGCGCCTTTGGTCACCTTCTCCACGATTATTCTCGTCTTCCATCGTTGCCGGAGTGTTTTGAGCTAACCGTTGATTTCTCCTGGCTTGCCTAAACGTTCGCTCAATTTCGGGATCAAGAGGTAGCAGCCTCGTGTCGTGTCCTCTTCGCATAAAAAGTACCTAAAAAAAATAAAAATTAAATAATTAAATAAAATAAAAAAAAATGGCTGAAGTAAGAAAAATTGTTTAAATTTAATATTAGGATAAATAAACAATTTAGCCGTATTCCCCGGCAACGGCGCCAAAAACTTGTTGGGTGCTAAATACCAACACGCAAGTGTACGTATCGCAAACAAGTAGTAAAGTAGACTCGTGAGAGTCGGATGTCGATCCCACAGGGAATACGTAAATTATTTAATCCTAAGTACCAAATCCTAACAATTGTGATTTTTATCCAGCCTACGCAGGGTTGTCAAATTAATTAACTAAATAAATTAAACTAATTAAGAACACAAGTAATCACGAGAAAAAGATCAATAATAAACGGATCTAGGATTTTATCTTCCCCCTATGCTATAATTCTCCACCCAATTAATTTCCTATCATGCAAGTTACGATTCCCGATTATTAACCCAAGACACGAAATTATTCATAACCAGCTGTCGCTGCGCTATAAACCTATTATTCATAAAAGATTCACTATATGTCTATGCAAACCTAGTATAAATAAAGCATTAAATATCAAGTCTCGCAAACGGCTACCTAAGGTATTATCTGTATGTCTACGATAATACATGCAATCAACACACGCATTCGGTGAAAAACTACTCGAAGGCTCTCCTATCCCTGTTCTAATTATTAAAACGATCTGTCAATCAATTCTAACAATAACAAATAGCAACATAAGTTAGCTACGCTCATGCACTAAATAAACTCAAGATAGAAGAAATAATCGAAGAATTAAACTTGCATAAAAGTAGAAAAATAGGTTCGAATCACCACATAGGGTTCCAATAAAATCCTAGAATAAAAACTTAGCTACTCATGTTCGTAACGAAAAGCATAAGAAAAATACGAGAATTCATAAATTTAGAAAAGAAAAGGAAAAAGGAAAACTAGGATGAAAAATCGTCAAGTCTTCGTCTTCGTTCTCTTGCTCCTTGATTGCGTGTAGAAAAGATAAAAAAACTAAAAACTAATAATAACGATAAAAGGTAAAAGATAATCCTAATTGTGTGCTTGTGGCCTTTAAATAGGGTGCAAAACTATAATAGGGCGGGTTTCCTTGTGTAATTAAAATTCCTTCACTGCGCCATCACGCCCATCCGGACGGCCGTGTGAGATTTTGAACTAAAATCCGCACGGCCGTGCGGTCTTTGATTCTCCAGATTTCTGATTTTTCACTTTTGGCCCACTTTTTCTCTGAATTTGCAGTTTTCACCCCAAAAGTTGCCAATTCTTCAATTTGCACCTAAAATACAAATAATAGCCATATTAAGCACCAATTATTGTAAAAACACATCAAAAGCTCCAATTAAAAGGTACAATTAAGTGTATAAATATACACTTAACAATAGTGCTAGCCCGCCGGATTTGCCAACCTTGTCCACTGCCAAGCCAAAAAGATTCCATCGTCTCTTTATTTTTTCTATCAGAACTTGTGTTGCTTTCGTTTCGGATAGGAACACTAAGCTGGGGTTGAACCTTCGGAGTAAATCACCGATCACATGAATCGTCAAGGCGCCCCCAAGCCCTTGACAATTCCAGAAAATACAGCTCATAGTTCTCGAGAGGGTAATTCCTTCCTCCTATGTTCGTAACCTGAAAGTTGTTTCGAGACCATTTGTGAGTCCCTTCCCAATCAGAGAGAGAGAGAGAGATTGATGAGACCCGGAGCCACCGACGCGAGAGTAAACAAGCAGAAGAATACTCAGAATGAAGATCTGAAAATATGGGCGGCAAACAAAATATAAAAAGATAACCTGAGAAAACTCAATAAAACCCTAACAATCTAAAAAAATACGACAAAAAGAACGTCAAACAAAAGGTAGAAAACACACGATCAAATTTGCAGGAAATAATTAAGAAAACCAAAATCAAAAGATGTTAAGTGTCATGAGAATTAACACGGTTCCGAAACTGGTGAATAACCCTGAATTCGAAAGCTATAATCCCGCCTCTCATACAGAGAGAAAACCCGCCTCTCAAATACTCTAACTTCTCTCTAAAATGATTTTATCCAATTCCCTCAAAATTTATTATTTCTTTACGTGAATAATCATAAAAAAAATTAGTTCCGTTTTTTTTTTTTTAATATTTATTCAATTTCGTTAAGTATTTTTAATTATTCAAATTCATATCGATTCGAATATTTTTCTCAAATTCCAACTTTATTTTAGTTTGAACATTAAAAGATTTTTGTCAAATCGAACATGGAATGCTATGGATGTTTTTAGTATTTGATTTTGTGAAAAAAACTTAGGGTAAAAGAATAGGGGTGGGAAAGGAGAAGAGAAGTATTGAGGAGAGAAATATGTTTAGTTATGTACATGATTTGGTAAAAATAATGTGGGATTTAGCATCAGTTTCTAAATTTCTTAAAGGGGAAAGTAAAGAGAACCCCCAAACAAATTTTCATTAATATAATTACTCTTAATGATAGTACAATTAAAGTCAACGTTCAACGACATGTGTAAAAAAAATACGGATAAAAATTATAGGAAAAAAAATTAATCAAAAAACGGGACACCGGAAACTGGCGGAAAAAAGAAGACAGAAAAAAAAAATAATAAAAATAAAGTCAACACCGGATACTGGCGGTGAACAGCGGCGACAGGCAAAATTGTAGTCAAAATTGGGTTATGGATCAAAATTAAATAATTAGTGAAATTTAGGGTCAAATTGAGATTACATTGAATTAAATAATTAAATTGGAAAATATTAAAATGTGAAGGATATTGTAGTCATTTATGAATAAGTAGTTCATGATGAGCTTATTTGTAATAGACCCTAATTTTAAAAAGGGTTAATTAGGGAGACCCACCTCAAAACACATTTGTCAATAATACAACCCTAGCTATTTTTCTCATTTTGTGATACCCTTCGTATAGTATTTTAACTTAACATAACCCATAAATTTATAATAAACCTAAATACCCTTATACTATATAAAATGTCAAACCCAATTAGGGCTTCACCATCTCTCGTTCTCTCACTTTCGATATCTCTCTACCTCTCTCCCTACTCTTTCTTTTTCCTCTCCTCCACCATCACCGCCGTTGTCTACGCTCCTCCACCGTCGCCTCCTCCGACGCCGACGCCCTTATATCCGTCCCTCACAAAGAGGCTAGAGCGACGATTCAAATAACAAAGTAGGTCTAATTCTATTAAGATAAGGGTCTCGCTAATAGACCATTTTAAAAACCAGATCACATTTCTTAAGTGTTAAATTATAAATAAACAATGAATTCTCAAAATATTTTCATAATAATTTGTTTACGTTTCAAGTCGGTCAGATAAAATACATATTCATCGACCATTATTGCCATTTAAAATACAACCAAATAAATACTCTTCAAAAAAAAAAAAAGTCACAAGCAAAACATTCCAATTGACAAATCCAACATATCATTAAACAAAATCCGAATACAAAAAAACATTATTAAGATCCTCTTCCAAACAAAACAAATAAAACCCGACCTTATTAAACAAGAGCAATATACAGAAGAATTATGTTGCATGATTTTTATAAAAAACGGAAATATAAAAAGAAAGAAATTGATCAAAAAGTCTAGACAGCAACACTCTTGTGGTGTTGGAGACCAACAGCATCATCGGGGATGTATGATCCCCAGAACCAGTGAGCCTTCCAGACTCTGTTCATCTCCTCAATCGGCATATTCTTCGTTTCTGGCACAAAGAAGTATACAAATGCCGTCATAATAACAACCCACCCAGCAAAGAAGAAGAACAGTCCAAACTTCAAATGACAAAGCGCCGACAAAAAAAGTTGTCCGATGATGAAAGTGAAGAACATATTCACCGACACGTTAATGGACTGTCCAGCGGATCGTGTCTCCAACGGGTGAATCTCACTAGGTACCAACCATCCCAAAGGTCCCCAAGACCAAGCAAACGCCGCCACGTATATGCAGATCAAAGCCAAAGCCAAATTGCCCATTTCCTTGCTGAAAGAACCAACTCCCGCAACTCCGAACACCTTGTATATAAGCACTCCAACGCTGATCTGGCAAATGATCATCTGAATACCGCCTTCGAGGAACAAAGCCCTTCTCCCAAATTTATCGACCGTGAAAATGGAGACGAAAGTGGCGAAGACGTTGACGAGGCCGCTGACGACTGCTGACATAAGCGAAGCGTTGTTTCCGAATCCAAGTGTCTTGAAAAGCACCGGTGCATAGAACATGATGACGTTGATCCCGGTCAACTGCTGGAACATTGGGATCAAACATGTGATGATCAGTTGTGGTCTGTACTGCGGCTCCATGATCTTCTTCCATGGATACTCCACCCTTTTCGATGCCTCACTCGCTTCCAACAGATCAGTGAACTCTTGTTCCACATTTTCAGTGCCACGAATTTTCTTGAGCATCTCTCTTGCTTCATCCTTCTGCCCTCTCTCGATCATGGAGTTGGGTGTGTCGGGGAGGAAAACTGCTCCAACTGTCATCATCAAAGCAGGGACGGCAGCCAAACCAAGCGACACTCTCCACCCATTTGCCGGCATTGAAGCGGTGAAGTAGTTGATCAAATTGGCGGCGAATATGCCGATTGTGGTGGCCATCTGAAACCCGATGTTGAGTGCACCTCTTAGCTTAGGAGGAGCCATTTCAGAGAGGTAGACTGGGACGGATTGATTAGCGTAGCCGATGCCAACACCAAGGAGCAAGCGGCCGATGATGAGCATTTCAACATTCACCGCAGCACCATTGAGAATTGCACCGACTAGGAAGATAAAACCGCCAGTGGTCATTGAGATCTTTCTTCCGAACTTTTGGGTGGTGGCTGATGCAAAGAAGGAGGCTATGAGCGCCGCCAGGTACAATGATGATGTGAAGAGAGTCAATAAGTGATTCTCGAATTTACAGTACTGACTCTCATGGCCAGATGCGTTCTTTTCCTTTGCGTACACCGATGGAAAGAATTTCTCCAAGAACTCGTCCATGGATGTTACTCCTCCTGCACGTTAATTAATACAAAATTATTTGAACATCTAATTAAGTAGTTGAAAATGGAAATCCATAAATACATATTTTGAGTAGGTAGGCAACAGAAAATACGAACCTGAGATACCAATGTCATAACCAAAAATAAGACCACCTGAAGCAGCAACCAAACAGGTAATGACGACGAAGAGCGTAACACGGCCTTCATAGTTTCCCGCACTTGCTCCACCAACTTCAAAACTACCAACTGTCATCTTTTTTAACTATATTTTCTTTTATTCGCAACTAAAACTAAAATCAAAACTAAAGAAATTTCTTCGATATAGAGTCTCTTACAGTAATCTCCTTTACTGTTTTCTAGCTACTTTTCATATATTTTTAGTAATTATACTATATTTATGTATATGTATTTCCTTTTTTTCTTCTATTTTTTTTCTTTTTTATGTAATCTACATCTGCTTGAGAAAGCTTGTTGCCCCCGCAGTTATTATCTTTTTCTATTTTTGCTTTGCTTGATTTATTCTGCCAAAAGATGAGGAGTGCTATTTATATAGAAAATATTAGAATGTAAGTGTATACGGTCAACTTTTTGAAGATTAACAAATGCTTGGACCAACATGTTTTTCTCTATAATTAACATGTGTTATTGTTTTTTAGATTAATTCGGTGAGATCCACTCTTTGAGCATATATTACTACTTTGTTTGATTGTGCGTGGGTAAAGGAATGGACAAAGTCAGGAACATCTGATCTTAGAACCAGTAACGAATGATCTACTTATCCCATTATGTTAAAACATGATTAACTTAAATGTTTAGTATATATGTTATAACAATTATTTGATTAAATGATCTAATTAACTGGCTTAGTGGCACGGGTTTTTTGCAAGGACCACCCTTGTGTACTATCGAATTGCCGAAAAAACCCCTGTGTTAAAAAAATTAGCACAAACCTTCCTATGAAAATTAGTCAAAGGCAATAAAGACCCTTCGAGCTCGACGTGCGATACACTCGCGGTTTGTGCGAGTGGGCGTGCATTTTTGGACATGAAATGACCCAAATAGCCTTTAAATTCCTTTAAATTAGATATTTTTAAAATTACGAAATCACCCCAAAGTTTTCATATGCCCAAAATGAAGTTTTCAAAAGGTTTAATTCAGTCCCTAGTGTTTTCAAAATTGCCCTCTTCAACCTCAAGATTCCGCCTTTCCTTTCTAGCCCCAAAACATTGTCTTTGCCACACCACTAATTCAAAAGATTTGGACCATAAACATCTCAGCCTGATGATACTAGAGATAGATCACCTTAGATAGTTGAAGTAGGATGAGCTGGAAGAGCAGAGTGGATCACTGGCTCACGAGCTTGATGACCTTGAGATACCTGCGATCATAGAGCACGTGAACTAGGCCGGGGTTGATCCGGCGGAAACCCCTCCGACGCTCAAGTCAGACGTGCGGATAGTGAAAATAGTCCAGAGAATACAGTTGATAGTATTACTCAGTTAACATGACGTACCTTAAGGAATGAGTTCAGACATTTATTTATAGCTTAGTTGAGATTGTCGGGCCAAACCTTACTTGAAGGTGATTGGGCCTCGGTGATAGTTGTCTTCGATATTGGGCTCGTGGCCCAATAGGTAAATAATTTGTAGGCCCATTGGGTTCGGCCAATTAGGCATATCATTAAGCCCCCCACTCTCGAGTCGATGTGGGGGCCATGTTGAAATGGGTGACATATCGTGTCGAGAGTAAAAATTGTAGTAGTCGATGGTGTGCGAAAACGCGTTGGAGCGTGTGTCGGAGAGGCGTGAAGGCGCGTTGGCGCGTAGCGCGACCAAGTTGTCGCGATGTAAGTTACTTGAGTCGTCTGTGTTGTCCCACGACGATGTGGTAGCGCGGATCAAGTTATCTCCTCGTGGGAGTTGTCTCGTCGTGGGGTAATAGAGTTGATCGAGTTATCTCCTCGTGGGAGTTGTCTCGCGATAATGTAGTAGCACGGAGTTAGTATTCTCCTCGTGGGAGTTGTTATTTATCGACATTGTCAATGTTTTGACGCGTTGCTTGTATTTGTTTACATATAGCCTTGTGCTTAATGTACTTTGTTTGATTGTGCGTGGGTAAAGGAATAGACAAGTTAGTGACACATTAATTAACATTATTCCTTTATTTATTATTATTTTTATGTTTTTGCAAAACCTTACCAAAATCTTGATGCACACGTAGAGGAGTAATTTCTTTGAATTTAACATTTGAAAAGTATTTTCAAAAAAAAAAAAAAAAGAAATTTGAAAAGTAGTTAAATTATAATTTAAATCATTCATTAAAAACTTTAAATTATTTTCTTTGTTTTAAAAATAGATTAGCGATAAATATTGTGGACATGGTTATACTATGTTTACTATAATAAATACCTTATTCAATCAAGTAATTTTATTTGTTAAACTATAAATAATTTATTTATTTCATTACCATTTTATTTTTATTTTAATTTTATCAAGTGTAGATTTTTTTAAACATGATCTAAATAGTAGATCAATGTATGATTTGAATTAGAGATACTTGAACAAAATTAATTGTATCGACCAATTTTGAACATAATGACGGTAGTGAGGAGTTAGGTCCTGTGATTTTGCTACGAAAAATATAAACATAAAAGCAATGTTATCAGAATCGAACCGGACATAGAACCGGATGACTAGTTGGGTCACGGTTGAACCGGTTGAACCGTGGTTCGACCGTGTTTTTTACTTTTATTTTTTTATTTTTAATTATTTTATTAATTTTAATACTTTAAAAATATTAGTTTCTATATATATTTTTCAGAAAAGTAACCTACTTTCTTCACTATTTTCCAACTCATCCATCATTTCCTTTATAAATTTTGGGACTATTAGTGAGAACCCCCTCTAACATTATTTTAATAAGGATAGGTTCAGCTCATTTTTCTTTATTAGTGAGAAACCCATTTTTTTTGTATTCTCAAATTTACCCTCCCACTATTCACTACCCATTATCCACTAGTTTGATATATTTTTTTATTTTTTATATTTTAATTTTAATTTTCGTTTTTTTATTTATGTTTTCTTTCAAAAATAATATTTTTTTTAAAAAAAACTTTTTATTTTTTTATTTTTTTAATATTTTTCTAAAAATATTCCTTTTCTATATTATTTTAGTTTTCAGTTAAAACAACTATATGCCGATAAAACAACTATTATTAAAACGACTATTATTAAAACGACTGTTATTAAAACAATGATACACAGTTTCACAATTTATTAAATTAATTATATATTAATGTTATTTCCATTGTAAGATTAACTAATTAATTATACAAAACATCTCCAAAACAACTGTTTGTTAAAAACAACTATTTATTCAAACCAACTAAAAAGTAATGAAAATAGTATATTGTTGTGCAAAAACAACTATATTGCTATACGGAAACAACTATATTGAATCAACTACAAATTATTGAAATCCACAAAAGCAAAAACAAAAAAACACACAAAAATTCCAACAAAAACGACTATTATTGAAACCAACTACAACCGTAACAAAAACAACTATATCTTTTTTAGTAACACGAACACAGGTTCAACAAACCAGCCTCCCAAACAATACCTCCTCCTCGAGGTCAATCTATTCCATTACAACGGTGGTGGAGGCGATCTTCCGACGAGGATTCTAGGAATGCTTCAAAAAATCGAAAGAACAAAAAAAAAAGTAGCATAAATAACTCAAAAAACAACTATAAAAGTAGAAAACAACTATATTATCATTTGGTAGAAAAATACTTGTATTTTATTCTATTTCTTTATACAAGAAAGCCACTGATAGATACACAAAATCACACATCGATTCTAATTTATGAGTGACCCGAATATTAAAAAAAAAAAAAAATACTCATCCTAATAGATGTAAAGAATATATCATAATCTAAATCTTATTTATTCCTCAATGATTCGATGAACAATTAAGTTACAAAAATAAAATATTTTAAGCCCACAATTTTCTACCATAGAAAAGATCAAAATTTTCTTACCGAATTAAAATTGAATTATTTTCTATACTTTAGCCGGGGGAGCGATTGCGGCGGTCTGTGGATCGGAGACGAAGATAGATGAGGGGGAACAAGGAAGACCGTGAGGCGACGTTGTGGCAGAGATGGGGAACGGTGGAAGTGGAGAGGCGGCTCGGTGGAGATGATTAGCAGCGGCGCAGGGGAGAGAACGAGAGAGATGCGTGGCGGCTTGTAAAAAAAAATTGGACGAGGAATTAGAGAAATAGGGTTTGAGGTTTTAATATGGTAAAAGGGTAATACAGACATAAAACTAAAGATTTATATTTATTCTAAATTAAAATATTAATAGAGGGGGGTCTCACTAATTATGAAAATGAGGTTATATCCATCCTAATATATGTAAATGATGTGGGGGGTCTCACTAATTATAAATATTTGGCTGCGGCTATATGCAATACTAAAACCACTTGTGCAAGACCAAATTAAAGAAAGATTCTAAAAGATTATATTTTATTAAGACGAAATGACAAATATACCCTTAAATAAAATTGGCTTTTTTTTCTCATGCAAGACAAAGTACAAATAATGAGGAAATTTTTTTTTTTCCGGCGAGATTCCGGCGTGACCGCCGGAGACCGCCGTCTCCGGCGTTGACTTTTTTTTTTTTTTTATTAGAAAAAAAATATTTTAATTAATATTACTGTCTTGGCTATTCAATTACTGTCTCAGACAATAATATTAGTGTTTAGGACAGTAATATTATGAATATTATTTTTCCGAACAGTAATATTATTAATATTATTGTTTAAGACAGTTAAATTACTGTTGGAGACAATAATTTAACATCCAAGACAGTAATATTAATTAAAATAATTTTTTTTTAAGGAAAAAAAAAAAGTCAATTAACAGTTAAATTACTGTCTCCGACAGTTAAATAACCGCCGAAGACAGTAATTTAGCAACGAATACAGTAATATTAATTAAAAATATTTTTTTTAAGAATAAAAAAGTCAATTAACAGTTAAATTACTGTCTCCGACAGTTAAATAACTGCTGGAGACAGTAATTTAGCAACGAATACAGTAATATTAATTAAAATATTTTTGAAGAAAAAAAAAAACAAAAGAGTCCATTAACAGTTAAATACTGTCTCCGACAGTTAAATAACAGCCGGAGACAGTAATTTAGCAGCCAAGACAGTAATATTAATTAAAATATTTTTTATAAGAAAAAACAAAATTATAAAAATAAAAAAAAATAAAAAAAAAAGTCAACGCCGGAGACCGGCGGTCAACGCCGGAGACCGGCGGTCAATGCCGGAGACCGGCGGTCAACGCCGGCGACCAACGGTCTCCGGTGGTGGCGGGTCAAAATTGAAATTAGGGTTAAAATTGGTTAATTGATGAAATTGGGCTAAATTGGGGTGTAAATCATGAAATTGGAGTTATTGAGTTTCAATGAATTGGGGGTAATTTTGGTATATAT